TGAAAAGTTAAGCTGCCTCTAACTTGACATCATGTATTTTGAAAATTTAACTAGCAAAACTGAATTTTTTTACGTCAGAAGTAACTGAACTTAAAAATGAAACCTGAACTACCTAACAAGATGCTGCAGATCTCAGGTACTAACCTTGTAAGATTTAGAGAATGGTATGGAAATAAAATGTGCAAAATCAGGATAAATTTTGGCATGGACTGAAGCTGAAATTCTTTGATCTATTCTTAAGACATCTTACTAAGCACTTACTTGCCTTGAGAAAGTACAATCAGGAACTACTGATCCAACTTTATTTTGATTTCATTTATTTAAATCAAAGGGGCTTGCTGTATAATTTAGGTCCAAAATGCTGTCAGGTATGTGAGGCTGATCTTGGAAGAGATCAGCTTTTTAAAGTTTTTTTTTAAAGCAATCTAGTACAAACAAATTACTAACCTACAGAGCAAATCATTGCCTTTGTGAGACAGGCAACTAGAGAGAAAGGAATTTAAAACAAACATAGCGCAGGCCCAGAGATTTAAATTATACTGTATACAAGAAATCCCTCTCCAGATCTCTCACTTTCCAAGTGGGGGAGAACAACTTTTCTCAGATAAAAAAATAGCAAGCAACTATGGTGTTAGGGCATAACAGATGAAGTTCAGAAGAGTGATATAATAATAGGAAAAGAAAGATTACTATTTCTTAATAGTTACTATAATGAAAGCTATAGTAATATTCAGGACTCTACCAAAAACAGACACAACTCTCCCCTCTTGTCACTATTCTTAAACGGACTCCTACATAACACTGTGAAGAGAAATGCCTGCCAGACTGTTACCAGCTTCTTTCAGGGGAACCATGATAACATGATTAAGGAATATTAATGATATCTGTGCCTTTCAAAAACCACAGTCTTCTTCAAGTAAAAGGTTCTGATGAGTTTTCCTAGTACATTTTGCTAATTAGAGGGATTAGATACCCTTTTAACCCTGAAAGAAAAAGGGAATTGGATATCTTGTGAAATTCTCCCGGGAAAAGAGCAAGAAAGCCCATAAATTGAAGTAGCCAACAAGACGGCAAATGTTAAACCATAAAGAAAACAAAATGATCCTAGTAAAATTCAAGAAAGGGAACGAAACATTTCAATCCTTTGAATAGATTCCCTCCAATCTAAGAAAAGGAAACCATACAGTAAAGAAAGAGAAACACTGATTCCACCTGCTTAGGTCCGCATCAAGAACTAGGGTTATTTCAGGACTCTATTTTTAAACTGGAGATTATAGTTCCACTTCATGATAGGAAAACTCAAATAAGAAAAATCACAGAAAGCTATGCTTTATTTTATCTATAACAATACTAGAAAGGAGTCCAGTCATGTCACTTAAAAATGTTATGTACACCAACTACTAAATATATTTTGTCGCACAAAAGCAAAAAACAAAGACATATTCTACTACAAAGATGAGGTAAGAAAGAACTGGAAATTCAGCTAGAAAATAATCCCTTGTAATGCTTCAAGTAATCTTGCCTTAGATCTTTATAGGATGTTGTGACATGACAGTAATGTTAGGTGAAAGAGTAGACAGCTCTTAGAAAATGCCTTGTAAATCCCAGTTGGAGAGATTAACCTGAACCCAGCTATTACTTTGGGCTGCACCTCCATCTGAGCATACTCTAGTCTAATTATCATAATATAGAAGTTTGTCTATCCATACACTTACAGCACTAAACAGTATGGAATACATAAAAAGCTATTTTGGCTTTTTAGCTCCTTCACCGATACTATATTGAAAGATCAAAGTTGGAAGATAAAGGTGAACTTCCAAATCAGTTCTCATTTAGCTTAACTAACATGGTCCTAATTGAAACTAAATGTAATGCAGCAAAAAAAGTTCTACATTTAACAGCAACTTCATTAAGATGAAACTCAGTGGTCTTTGGGGAAAAAACTACATATAAATAATTAGCAAGATTCAGATTATTAATTAATAGTGACAATATCTTATAAATTTTAGTTGCAACCACCTCAAAAATTTTCAAAAACTTTAATATAAAGTTTGTTGCTGTTGTTTTTAACTTTTTAAATTAATTTTAGGCTCTATCCCATTCAGGACAAATGTGAATTAGAAGAATACTTGCATCAGTGATAGTAGCAGCTACAAAACTAATGTAGAACATATATTCAGAACATTAGAACGTAGAACATATATTCAGAACATTCAGAGCCACAAGAATTTGATTAGGTAGGTTTTTCTGTACTACTATATATGTGTAGATACTGCTCTTATTATTCCAACAGTTAATCTTTCCCTTTCCTCCCTGCATAATAGCCCCCTATCCCATTATTTCCTCCCACCCACCTCCATCAAGTTACCTGCCTCTTTCCTTTTTCCTATAATAAAATCAATCAAAGGAGAGACAGACTAGTCCAATATTATACCTCTTTCCTTCTTTTTCTTTCCTTTCTGTCACAATAAGAGAAGTCTCCTAAGTTGTTTCTCAAAACTAGTTTTTCTTGCCCTGACAGCTTCCTTCAGGACCCCTTTCTGAAGGAGGATGCAGCTTGTGATCCTCCAGTGGAAATACAGTTTACTGAATGGAGCAAACAGTTCAATTGTGTTACTAGTAGGAGTGGTTCTGAACACAGGAAACTGGGAATACAACATCAAAATTGAAATTTATAGATTACATTACTGTTCAACTTGCAAGAAGCCTCTGAAATATCTAGTTCATGAGTACAACTGCATTTTAGGGGATTCAACAAAAGCTAACAAAATAAAGAAGACAATTTTGGCCATGCTAAGCTTCTAAATCAGGGCTGGGCAAGATGTGGCCTGGGCACTTTGTTCCTGGAGTTGTGTACCTTAAGCCGACCTGCCTGGTCTACTATAGATCAGGCCACCAAGTTTAAGGTCAGAAGGGACTCTTTTAAATGTCTATCTGTATATCAGAGGCCTTTAAATTTCACCCTGTTGACACAGCGTTGAGCCCTATCAAATAAATTATGTTTGACTAAAGCCTTCCTTGGAGAAAGGCATCCAGATCTGATCTAAAGACATCAAACATTAGAGAATGTACCCAGGGCAGTTGGCTCATCCCCATTACTGTTAAAAATTGTGCATTATTTCCAGTTTAAATTTGCCCAGCTTCAGCTTTTAGCCATTGCTTCTTGTTTTACCATTCTCCTCTACATTAAAAAGCCCTTTGATACCCAAGAAGGTACTTACAGACACTATTCAAGTCGCCACTCAGTCTTATTTTTTATAATCTTTAAACAGATTGAGCCTTTTAAGTGTTTCATTTTAAATTATTTACTCCAACAGAATTGCTGTGGCTCTTTTCTGCACCCTCTGCAAGTTTTGAACATCCTTTTTAAAAAGTGGACACGAGAACTGTATTCAGTATACTAGTATCTGTCTCATCAATGCTGTAGAAGGAGATTAAATTGCGTTCCTATTAATGCTTAGTAATTCTCCACCTATACATCCAAATATCACATTAGCCCCTTGTACCACAGCATCAACTGCGAGCTCATGTTGAGTTGTTCATTCACTATTGCTCCTAGATCCTTTTAATAATCAATGCTTTAGGATACAGTCTCCTATTTTGTGGGCATGGCTTGCATTCCTTGTTTCTAGATGTAAATCAATAGTACTGAATTTTGTCATGGGAACTCTTATCCAATCAGAACTGAACTGAGACTGCCAATCCATTTCACACTGATCATATTATGACCTTTAGCGAGTAAGCATTTTGAGTTACTAATGACCATAATTATATTATCCCTGAACCATCCAATTCCTCCCCCTCATTAGTGTTTTCAAAATAAATTCAGAGTCACCATTAACCAGCAAAAGTCAAATTACTTTATGAATACCAGAAAAATGCTTAGTTTTTCATTTGTTCTCTTTACCACTAACCACAACTGGACTTATCTAAAACTATAACAATGCAATATCAGTGACATACACAGCTGTGAGGATGGTACATACAATCTGTATTATTGATAAGAAAGTCCTTGTACAGAAGCCAGCCCCAGATCAGCAGCATAGAGATGCAACCCTGGTTGCCCCAATACCCATTCAGTTTTGGACCAACAATTGGAGGAGCAATGGGGCCAAAACTGAGTAACTGATATTGTGGCTGGGTGCACAGAGTCACAGAGTCACTCAGGTTTGTCCCCGGAGCCTGTTCATGATGTGGGGATGGTGGGATCAAAACTGAGTGGAGTTGCAATCCGACACATGAGGGTCACAGAGTCACTCAGACTCAGGTTGCAGAGACAAACCTATGTGGCACTGCTACCCACCCTGCATTAGGCCAGTGTTCCTCAAATGCAACCACCAGGGACTTTTCTTGTGGCCACAGCCCCCTGGGCTGTGATGGGGGAGAGGGCAAAGTAGTACTCCCTTCCCATTGCTCCTGCATGCACTGCTTTGGTGTTGGTTGTTGGGGTTACTAGCAGGGACTAGTCCTTGCCCTACTCTGGAGTGACTTGGGGCACAACACTGTAGAAGCAAGCAGCCAGTGAGATCTGCACCTTCCCAGGGGCAGTCGGACTAGGGTTGCCAGTTGTCCGGTTTTGAACCGGACAGTCCAGTATTTGAGCTTTCTGTTCAGGAAACAAATTCAGAAAAAACAAATGAGAAAATATAAATGTCCGATATTTTCTAAATAAGATGTAATGTAGATTGTGATGTAATGTCAAGTGTGTCCAGTATTTTTGTTGAAACCATCTAGCAACCCTAGGTCGGACTCAGACTTTGAGCTTTAGCCCTGCAATTTAGCAGGCTCTACACATGAGGCTTCAGGCTACAGTCCTGGCTCTGGCTGCACAACAGCAGGCCTCAGCTTTGGGCTCCATCCCTGGGCCTTGCCCTCCAATTACGAGACAATAGGCTCGGGAGCAGGGCTCCAGGCTCCAGCCCTCTGCTGCCTCCTCTCATCCCCTAGCCCATCTTTAAGTAGAAAATTATGTAATTGCTTAAGACCTGATGAACACTTACTTCAATGGTATAAATCTGGTCATGTTTAATAATTTCTCCACCACGTAAAGTTCTCATTATAGCAAAGTCGGCAGTAGCTGTTGCTCCTCTTTGACTGCTGTGTGTGGATGTCTCATCACCCTGTGACGGGTCAATATCAGGACCATCTTGTACCGATTCTTCATCTTTGGTGTTTGATGCCTTTTTCTTTTTTTTCTGCTTCTTGGATGCATTTTGCCCATCAGATTGTGCTTTCCGTTGCCTAAATTGGGCAAGCTGCACATAAAGAGAAAATCCTGTTAAGGTGAAAGTTTTCTTCTTTATTACTAATGACACCAATTATGAGAGCTTATGGACTGTTCTACATAAACCTTCTACTAATCTCTGAAGAAAACAAATCTGAGGTTAATGCTGCATATTCCAAATACCATTCAATACAATTTAATATAAACTTTAAAATAATGTTTTAAATGCACACTATGTAATTAGCATAATGAGAATTTAAAATAGATCTTTGCAGGTTTTATATCAGTAATTACTTACTTATTGGATAGCTATCAAGAAATTAAAAGATTCAAAGTTAAACATAAAGCACAAGTCAATAAAATAATCTTTGATCTCATTTTCTTAGGAAAACTTACATTTTTCTAGTTTTATAATAATTACCTTACATCCCATGAGACTATGGAACTCATTCTATCTGCTTTGAAACAACAGTGGAAGAGTAACCGTTTTAATACCAAATAAGTAACACTGCACGCTTCAGAAAAAGTTAGTTTTAGAAATCAAGAAAATCAGACAAAGCCACTAACAAACCATAAAAGAAAGTAAAATACATCTTTAGGAAATAGTCTAACCAAAAAAAAAAAAAGCAAATTACAAGATACTCTACCTTGTAGCAAAACATGATGATAAATAGTCACTGGTGATCCAGACACAGCACATTGAAAAACCAATTAGAATGTAAGCTATTCAAATACTGTAAGACACTGCCTTTTGCAGAGATTATCACTTTTAATCAGATATAATGGTTTACATGTGAAATCCATTTAGAATATATTTTTCTTAACTGGTACAGAATTTCAATTCAAGAAAAAATAATAAACCTGTTTTTTCCAAAAGTAAAAACAAAATGTAATGGACATCAAAATGCTATCCATCCTCACTTTTTATTATCCCATCTAAAAAGTCCAAAATGAATGAGTGCTGCAAATCATTTTACTTTATCAAACATGTACCTTTACAATAACAACATTTAAATAAAGTCCTAGACCTTCATATCTATTTTATATTCTTTAATACCCAAGTATGAGGCATTTTAATAAACCCACTGTTGATTTGGAAAAACATTCTATCAAATAATAAAAGAATATTGCAATTTTTGCTCACGATATTCACCAATCTAGAGAGCCAGGCTTCCATTCAAGCTCGTTGTCAACACTCAAGTGGGTCAATTAGGATTTCCAGTTTGGCAAAGATTTTGTTCCTGGTCTGTATTCTGTGACAGTGCACGCTGTCACTTCTGTGTTTTCTAATTGTCTTTCAACCTCAAGATTGCTGAGAAAGCCATAAATTAAGCATAGATGCTACATGCAAATGAACTAAGATTTCTTCCATAGCTAATACTTTTGTATCACTGCAAGAAAATATTTTCTTATTTCTCCAGCACGATCCTGCAGCCTCTTGTCCATTCTAGACTGACAATGTGGCATACTCCCGCTGTGCTCAGATGGACCATGAGATTTGCTGAGCCAAAAATGCTCACCTACGTATTTAGCATTTTCCTCCACTCTGTCTTCATTATCTCCTTAATTAGTTTACATATTTAACAAGGCTTTTTATAATTTAAAAATAAATGCAACTTTTTAGTATTTCAGAACATCTGCAGAAGAGTAAGTACTTCTGTATTTTCACACTAAAGACAGAGGAATAAGAAATAGGATACATTGTAGACTTATCTTCTTAATAGAGGGAAGATACTAATTCTCCAGCTCTTCATGAGCAATGTAAGCACGTAGTCGACAAGCACAGTGTTTCTCAACCTTTTTTTTATAAAGTACCCCTTTTTCAAAAAAAAAAATTGTAAGTACCTACAGTTTTCAGACACACACAATTTTTCTCTACCATTGCAACAAATTTGTTTAAACAACTTAATTATAGCTGGGTGGGTGATGAAATTTGTGGGTGTAAAAAGTACAAAAATAATAAAACGCTGTAAAACTTAAAACAAAAATTCAGTTTTCTCCAAATTTCAGTTGTGTTGACGTACCCCTCAGACTTCTCTCGAGTACACATAAAACAGACATCAGGGTCTTTCACAGAGAGAAAACGGTTACTTGCCATTTTAACCAGACTGACCATTCTCTCAATGACCTTAAAATATGCATATTGCTTCAAAGAGATTTTAATTCTAGACTTCAAAAAGAAGCCTCAGAACTGTCATTCATGATTAAATTTGACACTTTACTTATGGGCCTTAACAAAGATGCTAATTATCTCACCCATTACAAAGACAGCTTCCCCAATTATCACCCCTAATATCTGTATCTCACAGACACTAACCTTCCCCTCTCACCCCCCTCTGTTCTAAAATCTGATTTGTCAATTTTATGTGTGTTCACTTTTTTTTGATTGTATCACTTTGGTATATATGGTCGTGCCAATTTTCTTCCTCAAGTTGATCTGAGGAAGTAGGTCTGGCCCACGAAAGCTCATCACCTAATAAATCATCTTGTTAGAACTATGCAGCACTTTAAAAACTGTCTTTTGTTTCAGCTAGACCAGACTAACACGGCTGAATTTCTATCACTATCCTAAGGGTACTCATACCACTGGTTGAGAAACACTGGACTAGTAGACTACCTGATAAGCCTAGGTAGTCAAGTCAACTACTTGTTTTCCCTCCACCTCTCCCCCGCTTTCTTGTCTCTGTATCAAGAAGCAGGAGGCAGTACTGGGGGGAGCCAGCTAAAAGCCAGCTTCCCCCAGCACCATCTCCCTGGTGCTGCCTGGCCCGCCCCCCCTCGCTCCTGCCTCTATCAGAGATAGCAGCACAGGGAGTTGGGGGTACGGGAGGCTACTGTGAAGCACACTGCTGCCATGAAGCATATTGCCTCCCACTGGGGAGCTGGGACCCCCCACAGATAGGGGCTGCTGCCAGAGCAGCCTCTGCCCACAGTCAGTCAGGGCCACTACAGACAGAGCCTGCTCCGGCCGAGCAGGCAACCCAGCTCAGTCTCAGCTCGCGCCAGGTCCGGGACCTACACCCATTGCACCTCTGTAGTTCAAATATAGTAGGACTGCCTGTGCACCCAGCTCCCACTACATTTAAACTGCAGAGCCACAGTGGGGATAGTTTCTGGACCCAGCACCAGCTGGGACTAAGCACCTTCCCTTATCAACTAATCATGTCGTTGAGAGAATTTTTATTGACTACACAATTAGCCAATTACCCGCCTCTTAACATCCTTACTCCTCACAATACTAATACATTTTCTGAGGGCTTGTCTACACAGCATGACAATGTGTACCAAAGGGGTTTGATTTGTAAAACATTCTAATTGACCTATTAAGACCCTGCTGAGGAGCTAAAATGGCAACTAGTTTTCATTAACATAGTTCTGTTTGAGACTTCATTTAAGCTCAACAAAACAGCTAACATCATTCTTGTCATAAGAATAACACCAAGTATTTTTAAATGTAACACTGGTACAAGTTGAAGGTTGTATCCTTCAGAAGTAACCAGTGAGAATTTTTTAAGAGAGCTAGACAGTGTCAGATATCAAGCATTCTCTTCCGAAACTTGATCCCAGCTTTAGGTAATGCAAAAGCATATCTTGCAAGTCTAACACTGTCTGTGCAGCTAAAGTTGCTACAAGAAAATGTAATTACAAGTTTCCTGGAAAACACACACACACTGATTCTAAAGTATGTCATCAACTCTACAAGGGATGAAACCTTACATAATAGATAAGAGGTAAATACAGCTTCATCCAGTGCAACTATATTCGGGTATGTCTACACCACCCTAGTTCAAACTAGGGTGGTTAATGTAGGCAACCGGAGTTGCAAATGAAGCCCGGGATTTGAATTTCCCGGCCTTCATTTGCATATTGCCGGGTGCCGCCATTTTTAAATGTCCGCTAGTTCGGACTCCGTGCCCGCGGCTACACGCGGCACGAACTAGGTAGTTCAGATTAGGCTTCCTATTCCGAACTACCGGTACACCTCGTTCCACACAAAGTTCTCTGGTTTGCCTCCTCTTGGATGCTGCCCCATATATCATACCGAATACAGTGACCATCTTGGTATCCATGGGAAGTTTATAAACCACAATACTCCCATACTACAATAATCTATTTAAATAGGGTTGATGTCCCTAGCTTCTGTTTGCCAGAAGCTGGGAATGGTTGTCGGGGGATGGATCGCTTGATGATTACCTGCTTTGTTCATTCACTCTGGGGGATGTGGCACTGTCCACAGTTGGAAGACAGGATACTGGGGTAGATGGACATTTGGTCTGACCCAGTATGGCTGTTCTTATGGTAGACAAGAATTTGGGAAAAAGTCTGTTTTTGTTTCTTCCACATTGTAGGTGAAACAGATTAGTGTCTTTTGAATAGCATAATTACTCACGTCTGGTCATAGTTATGGATATCTTGATGGAAAATTTGTAGTACTAAAAAGTATATACCTAGGAACAAACAAGATTTTTATTTTTATGGGACAGTACATCGTGCTCATACCATAATAGCCACAATTAGGGTGTTGTTTTAGACGTGTTGAGCACCAGCAACTTCTGCTTATCATGGCAGATCTGGACTTGTTTTATCAGAGTGTGAAGGGGTAATAGGCAAACATAATTGAGAATCTAATTGTTAAATCATAAATTGAGTTTTTGTACTATATATGTGTATGATGATTCTTTTGTCCTGTTATCCATATAGTTCTTATTTCATGAACTTGCCAGATATTGTCTTGGGCCTGATATGTGGTAAAGATTGGTGTGGCGAAAGTAAATAAGGAAATCTTATTTACTTGTTCCCATAACTCACCAATCATGTTTTTATAAACCTCTACCATATCCCCCCTTAGTCGACTCTTTTGTAATCTGAAAAGTCCCAGCCTTATTAATCTCTCCTCATATAACAGCCATTCCATACCCCTTATCATTTTTATTGCCCTTTTCTGAACTTTTCCAGTGCCAAGATTTTTTTGTTGTGATTATTTACCAGCAGTATGAGTAGGGAGGTAAGATTGTAGCCATTTAAAC